TGTTTGTAGATTCCATTGTTGATAGATATGCATTCATTGCCATTTTGTTTGTTCATACATTTTATCTTTTTCTTCAAAAAGACCCTTCATCATTTCATATAATAACGGTTTGGTAGTGATGAACTCCTTTAACTTTTTCTGGTCTGGGAAAGTTTTTATATGTCCATCAGTTCTAAATGACAGCCCTGGCCGGTTTGGCTCAGCGGTTAGAGCATCAGCCTGCGGTCCCGAGAGACCCGGGTTCGATTCCCGCTAAGGGCATGTGCCTTGGTTGCAGTTTGTCCCTGGCCCTGGTTGGTTGTGCGGGTGGCAGCCACTCGATGTGTCCCTTTCACGTCGATGTTTCTCTCTCTCTCTCTCTTCCTCGCTCTCCCTCCCACTCTGCCTGAACAAAAACTGTCCTCGGTGAGGATAAAAAAAAAAAAAAAAAAATTCTAAATGACAGCTTTGCAGGATAGAGTAATCTTGGTTGTAGGTTCTTGCTTTTCATCACTCTGAATATTTCTTGCCACTCCCTTCTGGCCTGCAAAGTTTCTTTTGAGAAATCAGCTGACAGCCTTATAGGAACTCCCTTGTAGGTAACTAGCTGCCTTTCTTTTGCTGCTTTTAAGATTCTCTCTTTGTCTTGAACCTTTTGCATTTTGATGATGATGTGTCTTGGTATGGGCCTCTTGGGGTTCATCTTGTTTGGGACTCTCTGTGCTTCCTGGACTTGTATGTCTGTTTCCTTCACCAAGTTAGGAAAGTTTTTTGCCATTATTGTTTCAAACAGGCTTTCTATTTCTTGTTCTCGCTCTTCTCCTTCGGGCACCCCCAAGATGCAAATGTTGGCACGCTTGAAGTTGTCCCAGAGGCGCCTTACACTATCCTCATTTTTTTGGATTCTTTTTTCTTTTTGCTGTTCTGATTGGGCATTTTTTGCTTCCTTATATTCCAAATCAATGGTTTGCTCCTTGGATTTACGTACTCTATTATTGAAGCTGTGTAAATTATTCTTTATTTCAGTTAATGCCTCCTTCAATTCTAACTGTGTATCCATGATTTCTAACTGGTCCTTTTTTATGCTCTTGAGGCCCTCCCTAAGTTCACTGAGGTTCTCACTAAGTTCATTGAGCATCCTTATAAGCAGTATTTTGAACTCAGTATCTGTTAGGTTGCTTGTCTCCATTTTGCTTAGTTCTTTTCTTGGGGTTTTGTTCTGTTCTTTCATTTGGGACCTGTTTCTTTGTCTCCTCATTTTGGCTGCCTCCCTGTGTTTGTTTCTGTGTATTACTTAATGAGAGGTAAGGGGCTCACTGAGACCAGATGCTGCTCGTTTGAAAGAATTTAGGAAAAACCTGAATCAGGATCCAAGACAGGCCAATCCTATGGTTAAGCAAGTGGCAACAGCTTGGGTGGGCCTGAAAGTTGGGTGGGGCGGGGCGGGGCCTCAGGGAGTCACCAGGGCAGGGAGTCACCAGTGTGAGCCAGGTTGCTGGAGTCCCAGATATGGTGACTGTCTTCCGCCCCCGGGAAGGGCTCACCAAAGGAACAAAGGCCTCTTACAGCACGTTTGTCCCCGAGAAAGCCCCCTCTCCAGCCCTCACTCCAGTGCCAAACAGCTCCGTTCTTCCCTGTATGTCTCTGGCGCCCCTCGAGCTGCCTCCCCTCCAAGCTTAGAGGGAGAGAGTCCGATAAGTCCGTGCGCGGGCCCTTTAGGCAGCTGCCTGGGGCTCCAGCTGCTTCAGCTTCCCTGAGCCTCAGTTCCCGCTGGTTTTTCCAGCCAGAGTTATGGGGACTTCTCTTCCTGGCACTGGAACCCTGAGCGGGGCACCTGGTGTGGGACGGGGACCCCTCAGTCCTCAGGAAGGACCTTCCCAGCTGAGGGAGCCTCCTGATTTTTATCCGCCACACGTGGGTGTGGGACCAGCCGTCTCGCCGCCGCCCCTTGCATCGCCGCCCCTCCTACCAGTCTGGATGTGGCTGCGGCTTTAATTTAATAGTTGTAGGACTTCCATTCAGCTTGATTTCAGGCGGTTTTGAATGATGGTTGTTCTGTAGTTTAGTTGTAACTTTGATGTGGTTGTGGGAGGACGCGATACCGCGTTTACCTACGCCGCCATCTTGACCGGAAGTCCTGGCATTTCAATTTTTAACTTTTTGAGGTAACACCATAGTGTTTTCCATAGTGGCTGCATTCTTAACAGCAGTGTGCTAGAGTCCCCTTCTCTTCACACCCTCACTAACACTTGTTGTTTGATGATTTCTTGATGGTGACCATTCTGACAGGTGTGAGGTGATACCTCATAGTTGGTTTAATTTGCACCTCTCTGATGATTAGTGATGTTGAGCATTTCTTCATATGTCTCTTGGCTATTTGCATGTCCTTTTTGAAGAGGTGTCTATTTAGGTCCTCTGCCCATTTTTAAATTGGGTTCTTTGTTTTCCTTTAGTTGAGTTGTATGAGCACTCTATATATTTTGGAAATTAACTTCTTATCTGATGCATCATTGGCGATTATGGTCTCCCATATAGTGGGATCCCTTTTCATTTTGATGGTTGTTTCTTTTGCTGTGCAGAAGCTTTTGAGTTTGATGTAGTCTAATGTGTTCATTTTCTCCTTTGTTTCTGCTGCCTTATGTGTTGTATCAGTGAAAATTCTGCAGGGTATGATGTCTGAAATTTTGCTGCCTACATTTTCTTCTAGGATTTTTATGGATTCAGGAGTTGCATTTAAGTCTTTTATCCATTTTGAGTTTATTCTCATGTATGGTGTAAATTGGTGTTCAAGTTTCATTCTTTTGCAAGCAGCTGTTCAGTTTTCCCAACACCATTTATTGAAGAGACTGTATGCTCTTGCTACCTTTGTTAAATATTAATTGAGCATATTGTCTTGGGTCAATTTCTGGGTTCTCTGTTCTGTTCCATTGATCTATCTGCACAAGAATAGGCAGGTAGATTTATGTGGTTTCTTTTTTTTTTTTAATCCTCACCCGAGGACATTTTTCCATTTTTTGTTCAGATACAGTGGAAGGGAGAAAGAGGAAAAGAGAGAGAGAAACATCGACGTGAAAGGGACACATCGAGCGGCTGCCACCCACAAGACCAACCAGGGCCGGGGACAAACTGCAACCGAGGCATGCGCCCCCAGCGGGAACTGAATCCGGGTCTCTCTGGACCGCAGGCCGATGCTCTAACCACTGAGCCAAACTGGCCAGGGCATGTGGTTTCTTAATAAGCTTCTCAATGCTGCCTATAATTTCTATCACAGTTAACAGGAATTATCATCAGTGGTGAAACCCTGGACACACTAGTTTGCCAGTCCTGAAGTGATAAGGGAAGACAAAATGGTTTTTAAAACTTCCTGAGGCAAGGAAATAAAATAACATAATTTTGAATTGAAAAATAAAGCAGGTGGTGTCAATATTTTCTTTATAGAGGTGATAAGAAATCTGAGATGACCACTAAGTTGAAGAGGCATTTCTTTTGCTTTTCTATTCAATCTCATTAATTTCTCAGAGCAAATAATTTTAAATTAACTAGGGTCACAATTCCTTTTATTCAATGGTAGTTTACTAAGCACTTATGATGTACTACGTGCTGTGCAAGACCTTGGTGATACTAAAATGCAAAATTGAATCATTGGCCTTCAGAACTTTCTAGTTTAGAAGAGAGACATTCATTATCCACTGTGTTAAGTTCTATGACTGACATAAAGAGAGAAACAGAAGAGGCTGCTCATGCAGACTGAAGATTTGGGAAGTTACTTGGAGAAGGTGATATCTGAGCTAAGACTTTAAAAATGAAGACATTGATTGAAGAGTCAGGTTTGGGGCAATTGCATTTAATATTTGGAAATATGTGAGAACTGGATAATTCAGGGAATTTTAGCAAATAAAGGCTGGATCATAGGTGAATGTGGTGGAGTGGGACAAGTAGTCTGGGGCCAGGTCATGTGGACCATTATATGTCACACCAAGACAGCAGGAAGTTAATGACGTATTATGCTAATATTGCTTTAGTTAATATTTATGCAAGTAAATTTTCATCTTTTATTTATGTGGAAAATGGGAAGGTATTTGAGAACAGCATATACAAAGCAGGAATATTTACTAGGGATTTTGATAAATGTTGTAATTAGCCCTTAAATTGCAGTCTTCAAGAAGCAAGTGCCATTCCCAAACCTCAAGAGACAGGGTTCTCTGTATTACAGTTTTTGTGTTTTCTGGTTCTTCTTTTTGTAACATGCTTAGCTTAATGGAAATGAAGACCAAAGATATTTCACTATGAAAATTGTAATGCAACTGCACTGGGTTGCATAGTGTCTCTCAAAAATTCATGTCAATGCGGAACCTCAGAATGTGACCTTATTAGGAAATAGGGATCTTTGCAGATGTAATAAACTAAGTTAATATGAGGTTATTGATTAGGGTGGGCTCCAAATAAAATTAATTGAATCATTACAAGAAGAAAATATGCAGACAAAGGCAGAGATTGGAGTTATGCTGTCACAAACCAAGGAACACCAATGATTGCTGGCAGCCACCAGAAATGAGGAGAGAAGAAAGGGACAGTTTTCTCTTGCCTCCAGAAGGAACTAACCCTTCCAACAACTTGATTTCAAACTTCTGGCCTCATGAACTGAGAGAGAATACATTTCTATTGTTTTAAACCACTCAGATTGTGGTAATTTGTTATTTCAGCCCTAGTAAATAGATACAGCAACCCAAAAAATATGTATATCTAAATGTTGTTAGGAATTTCTCAGGTGACTTTTTTTAGATGGTACTTTATTCCAAATATTTCAAACCAGTGTTGATGGATGGATGAGTAAGTTTTAGGAAATAATCTTATAATTATACTATCTATAATATAAAAAAGTCTGTATAAATTGCAAGATCTTAGAAAATATTAGTTTCCCTCTACTTCTACCTACTTACTCAAGTATTTAATTCTTATTTATGCCTAGTCATAACAAATAAATAATAATTTTTACAATTTATTTTCTCTTTCTTTTTAAGGTTATTTTCTTTGTCCCACCTTGAGGAACTTGATATTTCCTACAATAGTATTGCTTCTATTCCACAAGAAATCCAGAAACTCAGGTATTTTGGACGTAGTAAGAACACACAAAATCATATCCCCATAAAGGGTATATTTGGTGATGATTTGATTTTAAAAAATTAGTTAATTCATTTATTTAATAACTATCAAATGTATGTGAAGCATAAAGTTTACCAAAACATAATTTGAATGACTTGTGTACAGTATTTTTGGAACATAACATTTTCAGTAAGCATTTAAAGGATAATACTGATGATCACTTAATAGACTGACAAGCTACTTTTGTCCATTTTTTCATATGTGCCCCTGTAGTTCTTATCAGTTTTATTTGATTTTTTGTAAGGAGATAGATATACACCAAATGTTAATAATACACGATGTAATTTTAATGTTAAGCTCTAATTTTTTGTCTATGTCCTTCTCAGTCAGTACCATACTATTTTGAGTATGACTTTCGAATAAATTTTAATAACTATTAGGAAGATTAGATTTCAAGAATTGTCTCATAACTATTCTCTTTAGATCATGATCTTGAAGATATTTTATATAATGCCAAGGCCCTCCTTACCCCAAACACATAAATACAACATTGGGATTTTAATTCAAATTGCCTTGAATGTACGTATACCTTTTGAAGAATTCACATTTATAGTGATAATAAATATTTTTGTCCTAAAACATAGTATATTTTTTTTATTTGTTCAGGTCTTATGTTCTTAATAAGAATTTATGACTCATTTCATATAAATCCTTTATCTTTCTTACTAACCATTCTAAGTATTTTATATATATGTTTCTATAAATCATGGTATCAGGTCTGTTTTTCTTGGAATTCAGTAAACTCTTCTAATGAGCCAGGTCAAACATTTTTTTTGTTAGGAAATATGTTTAATTATTGCTTCTCCTCTTCCATCTGTTTTATTTTCTTTTCTTGAAACATCTATTTTATTTTAGATCACCTGGCTCTATCTTCCATGATACCTACATTTTTTTCATTATTATTTTTTAAAATGTTTTTGCTATGTTTCAGTTATTTTTTTCTACTTTTTCTTTGCCTCTAACTCAGATCTCTATGAATACCATTTTCTTCTTCAGTTTGTCCACCTAATTTTTTTAGTTTTAAAAATAATGTATTTTGATTCAAGAATATCTGTATGTGTGTAGATATATGTATGTGTATGTATATTTCAATCTTATTGTTTCTCCTGCCCCAACTTCTTATCTGTCTCCACAGAGAGATAAATATAGAAGTGCTTGCCTTAGGTAAATGATTTTGTGTGTTTTGTTTTGTTTTCCTCTTCTGGTTGCTCTGTCTTCTGCTTAGGTTGATAGCAGTCTCAGAGGACCATTCAGAGCACTGAGTGTTAGTGGTAGAGCAGGAGGAGTTTTCTATGCTACCCAGGTTAACCTTAAAACTAGTTAGCCTACTGAACATCCCCAAAACTCATCGAGAGAAATGGTGTACCCATATTGGTGGAACCTCTAAGATAAACCAACACAGGAAAGACAGCCTCACTCATGGTTGTTCTGGGGATTCTCGGTGGCATTTCCTTAGAGCGTACCATACTTATTCTGATTGTCCATAGGACTCTGCTTTTGACCCCAAGGTTGTGTTTGCTATAGAGGAAAAATGACCATGCCAGTCCCTCCTCTGGGACCAAAACAGAGCTAGGGTCTGACTCACCCTGTCTAGACAGTGAGAAGTACAGTAGTCAAACTGTGATGGAGGGATGAAGCTAGCTGAGGTACCATCTTCTTAGCCTCATTGTCTTAAATAATGTCTTTGACCATTATCAGCAGGAATCATAATTAAAGAACTTAAATTGTGTGTATAAGAGATGTGAAACTAGACTGCAAATGAGAATGATAGGCCTCTAGCTGCTTATCACCTAAAGTCTTTTTTTTTTTTAATCTAAACTGGTTATATTAATGTCTTCACTCCTAATACATTTCAGAAGTTGGACCAGCTTTTGCTTTGATTTTTATATATCCTTCATGAACAGATACTTTTCTGACAGTTTCCAGCACTAGTTAGAAAGGAGATAAGTCACTGTAGAAATCATTTGTAAGTAGCTAAAAAATGAGAAAATCAGTGATGTTCGGTCCCTTTGGATAAAAGATGAAGGGTTTTCTGAAGCAATTGATACAGTAAAAACCAAGAGGTGATAAAAAGTCAAAACACAACGTAGCACACAATACATTTTGATAATGTTAATTTCACTTTTTTGATTGCGTTTAAGTGAAAAATATGTGTTGAAGTTCAATTTGTCTATGAAAATAAATTCTTTGTATCATAAATTATATTTTATGTAATACAACATTCATTCATCTTACTTTGTTTGTGATTATTAATTCTTTTTGTGTAGTATGTTGCATATTGCAAAGACCCAAAATACAAGCGTAATTCTACTATTCACACAAATGGATTTTTTTTTGCAGCATAATATATTGGTTCAATTGCTTTTTAAGATAACTTTCTTGATTCTAAGGAAGTACTTAAAACACCTACATTTTATCATTATAAAGTTTTATACTAATTTTAAGGAAAATTTGGACAGAATTTTACTTCAGTATTATAAATTGCATAAGAGCCTTTTAAAGAATATTTTTTTCTATTTGCAGATCACTTAAAAAATTGGTTGTTGATGGGAATGACCTGACATCTTTTCCATCTGGAATTTTGAAGCTTAACCTGAAAAAAATCCTATTTGAAAATACTTTCACTCATCCTTGTCTTTGGAAAGAGAATTCTTTGAATAGTCCACAGCGTCTTGTTCAACTTACTTCTTTGTTCTTTTTAAAAAATAATCTACATACATATTATGATGTGATCCCAGTGGAAATTCAAATGTTACTAAACTGGTAAGAAAATTCTGAAACTCATTTAACCAAAATGCACTTTTAAGCATTCAAAATGTTCTTTATTACAGGCTCACATAATAATTTTACTATGAACACACACACACACACACTTCACATCACATACCACATATCAAAACATGCACACGATTCTTTTTCTTTTTGAAAGACCAGTATTTTTAAAATATGTTTTTATTGATTATTTTAGAGAGAGAGGAAGGGAGAGAGAGAGAGAAACATCAATGTGAGAGACAAACATCAATCGGCTGCCTCCTGCACACATCCTACTGGGGATCTAGCCCAGCATGTGCCCTGACTGGGAATAGTCCATGGGAGGATGCTCCATGTACCAAGCCACACCGGCCGGACTACACACAATTCTTTAAATTGCTCCTTCTGGCTCTTCAGCATAATAAAATAGTCTGAATTCAGCCCATCTCCTAACAGTCCAAAGTTATAACTTAAATCTAATGTGAGATACAGATTGCTAAGGTGTAGCTGGCAATAACTACACAGTTGTAGTATAAATCTTTTCTATGAATCACTACAGACATAAAGTGTATTCTTAAAAAAAAGATTAATTACTCTCAGGCACACTATGCACTATCCAAGAAAATGCTTTACTCTATTCATTTTTTTAAATTTAATTATTTATTTTTGTTACAGATGTTTCTCCTTTTTCCCCCATTGACACCCTTCTCCCCCTCCCTTCTCGCCCTGTCCCCAGCTTTGTTATCCATGTCCATTGGTTATGCATACATGCATATAAGTTCTGTAGTTTATCTCTCCCCCCTGACCCACTCTCCTGGGGATTGTCAGTCTGTACCCCACTTCTACATATCTGGGACTACCCTGTTCTTCAGACTGTTGTGTTCATTATATTCTACAAATAAGTGAGGTCATGTGATATTTGCCTTTCTCTGCTTGGCTTGTTTCACTTATGATACTACTCCAGGTCCCTCCATGTTGTCTCAAAAAATAAGAGATCTTTCTTTCTTTTTTTTTTTTATCCTCACCCGAGGACATTTTTCCATTTTTTGTTCAGGTAGAGTGGGAGGGTGAGAGAGGAACAAAGAGAGAGAGAGAAACATCGATGTGAAAGGAACACATTGAGTGGCTGCCACCCGCACAACCGACCAGGGCTGGGGACAAACTGCAACCGAGGTACGTGCCCTTAGCGGGAACCGAACCCGGGTCTCTCAGGACCACAGGCCGACGCTCTAACCGCTGAACCAAACTGGCCAGGGCGAGATCTTTCTTTCTTACACCTACATAGTATACTATTGTGTATATGTACACAGCTTTGTTATCCACTTGTCTACTGGTGGACACTCGAGCTGTTTCCAGATTTTAGCTGTTGCAAATAGTGCTGTTATGAATATAGGGGTACATATATTCTTTCTGATCAGTGTTTCAGGCTTCTTAGGGTATATTCCTGGAAGTGGGATCACTGGGTCAAATGGCAGTTCAATTCTTAATTTTTTGAGGTAACACCATATTATTTTCCATAGAGGCTGCACGAGACTACATTCCCACTAGCAGTGTACTAGAGTCCCCTTCTCTCCACACTCTTGCCAACATTTGTTTTTTGATGATTTGTTGATGGCTGCCATTCTGACAGGTGTGAGGCAATACCTCATTATTGATTTAATTTGCATCTGTTGATTAATGACATTGAGCATTTCTTTATATGTCTCTTGGCCATTTCCATGTTCTTTTTGGAGAGGTGTTTATTTAGTTCCTCTGCCCATTTTTGAATTGGGTTCTTTATCCTCCTTTTGTTGAGTTGTATAAGCACTCTATATATTTTGGAAATTAACCCCTTATCTGACGTATCACTGGCAATTATGCTCCCCCATACTGTGGGTTCCCTTTCCATTTTGATGGTTGTTTCTTTTGCTGTGCAGAAGCTTTGAGTTTCATGTAGTCCCATGTGTTCATTTTTTCCTTTGTTTCTGTTGCCTTAGGTGATGTATCAGTGAAAATTCTGCTGCATATGATATCTGAAATTTTGTTGCCTACATTTTCTTCTAGGATTTTTATGAATTCACGAGTCACATTTAAGTCTTTTATCTGTTTTGAGTTTATTCTTGTGTATGGTATAAGTTGATGGTCTAGTTTCATTTTTTACATGTAGCTGTCCAATTTTCCCAACACCATTTATTAAAGAGGCTGTCCTTACTCCACTGTATGCTCTTGCCACCTTTGTCTAATATTAAATGAGCAGTGTTTTGGGTCAATTTCTGGATTCTCTGTTCTATTTCATTGATCTATGTGCCTGTTCTTCTGCCATTACCAGGCTGTTTTGATTACAGTGGCTTTGTAGTATAACCTTATATCTGGTCCTGTGATCCTGCCTACTTCATTCTTCTTTTTCAAGATTGCTGTGGCTATTGGGGGTCTTTTTTGGTTCCATATGACCTTTTGAAGTATTTGTTCTACTTCTGTAAAATATGTCGTTGGTATTTTGATAGGGATTGCATTGAATCTATAGATTGCTTTGGGTAGTATGGACATTTTAATGATGTTAATTCTTCCAATCCATGAACAAGATATGTGCTTTCATTTTTATATATCTTCCTCTGTTTCTGTTTTCAATGACCTGTGGTTTTCTGCAAATAGGTACTTTACTTCTTTGGTTAAGTTTATTCCTAGATATCTCAATTTTTTTTGCTGGAGTGGTAAATGGAATTGTTTTTTTTTTTCTTTTTTTACTTTTCCTTTCTGTGAATTCATCATTGGTGTATAAGAATGCCATCAATTTCTTGACGTTAATTTTGTATCCTGCTACTTTGCCAAATTCATTTATTAAGTTTAGTAGATTTTTGATGGAGTCTTTAGGATTTTCTATGTATAGTATCATGTCATCTGCTAATAATGACAGTTTCACTTCCTCCTTTCCAGTTTGGATCCCTTTTATTTTTTCTTCCTGTCTGATTGCTGTGGCTAAGACTTCCAGTACTATGTTAAATAAGAGTGGCGAATGTGGGCATCCTTGTCTTTTTCTTGTCCTTAAGGGAAATGCTTTTAGTTTTTGTTCATTGAGTATGATGTTGGTTATAGGCTTTTCATATATGGCCTTCATTATGTCAAGATATGATCTTTCTATTCCCAAATTGCTGAGCGTGTTTACCAGAAATGGGTGCTGGATTTTGTCTAATGCTTTTTCAGCCTCTATTGATACGATCATATGATTTTTATCTTTCATTTTGTTTATGTGGTATATTACATTTATTGATTTTTAAATATTGAACCAGACTTGCATCCCTGGGATGAATCCCACTTGGTCATAATGAATGATTTCATTGATGTATTGCTTGACCCGATTTGCTAGTATTTTGTTCAGGTTTTCGGCATCTATGTTCATCAAGTATATTGGCCTGTAGTTTTTCTTCTTTGTAGTGTCTTTTTCTGGTTTTGAAATTAGAATTATGCTGGCCTCATAAAACTAGTTTGAAAGTCTTCCTCCTTCTTGAATTTTTAGGACTAGTATGAGGAGAATAAGTGTTAGTTCTTCTTTGAACGCTCGGTAAAACTCCCCAGTGAAGTTTTCTGGGCCTGGGCTTTTATTTTGGTGGGAGAGTCTTGATTACATCTTCAATTTCCTTAGTTGTTATTGGTCTGTTCAAGTTTTCTATGTCTTTCTGGTTTAGTTTTGGGAGACTATGTGTTTCTAGAAATTTGTCCATTTCGCTTAGATTGTCCATTTTTTGGCCATATAATTGTTCACAATATTTGTTAACAATTCTTTGTATTTCTGTGTTTTGTCAGTTATTCTTTCTCCTCTTTCATTTCTAATTTTGTGTATTTGGGTTTCTCTCTTTGTTGCTTGGTGAGTCTAGCTAAGGGTCCATCAATCTTCTTTATCTTTTCAAATAACCAGCTCTTTGTTTCATTGGTCTTTTTAATTGTTTTTGTTCTCCATGTCACTTATTTCTGCTCTGATATTTACTATTTCCATCTTTCTACTTGCTCTGGGGTTTTCTTTTTGTTTGCTGTCAAGTTCTTTAAGTTGTGTGGTTAGGTAGTCAATCAGAAATTTTTCTTGTTTCTTGAGTTAGGCCTGTAGTGCTATGAACTTCCCTCTCAGAACTGCTTTCACTGCATCCCATAGATTTTGTGTTGTTGTGTCTTCATTTTCATTGGTTTCCAGGAAGTTTTTAATTTCTTCCTTTATCTCCATAGTAACCCATTCATTGTTCAATAACATGCTCTTTAGCCTCCATATGTTCAAATGTCTTTGCATGTTCTTCTTGCAATTGATTTCTAGGTACATGCCATTGTGATCTGAGAAGATGCTTGATATGATTTCAATCTTCTTGAACTTTTAGGGACTTAGTTTGTGCCCTAGCATTTGGCCTATTTTTGAGAATGTCCCATGTGCACTTGAGAAGAATGTGAATTCTGCAGTTTGGCGATGTAATTCTCTGTAGATATATATTAAATCTATTTGCTCTAGTGCTTCATTTAGTGTTTGTGTTTCCTTGCTAATTTTTTGTCTAGATGATCTATCCAGTGATGTCAGCGGGGTGTTGAAGTCCCCTGCTATGATTGTATTGCTGTTGATTTCTCCTTTGAAGTCCTTCAGAAAATTTTTAATGTATTTTGGTGCTCCTCTATTGGGTGCACATATGTTTACCAAGATTATATCTTCCTGTTGGATAGATCCTTTCAATATTATGTAGTCACTTTCTTTGTGTCTAGTTATGGCCTTCATTTTGAAATTTAATTTATCAGATATGAGTATTGCTACCCCAGCTTTTTTGTCCTTTCTGTTTGCTTGGAAGATTCTTTTCTGTCCCTTCACTTTCAACTTATATGTGTCTTTTGTTGAGAGGTGGGTCTCTCGTAAAGAACATATGTGTGAGTCATGCTTTCTTATCCAGTCAGCTACTCTGTGTCCTTTTATTGGAGCATTCAAACCATTTACCTTTAAAGTGATTATTAATATGTACTTATTTCTTGCCATTTTTGTTTCATATGGTTCTATTTTTCTTCCTATT